ATGTGAGAAACGAACATTAATCCCCCCACAACCCCCTCGTGCCTCAGTGCTTCAGTGACAAAGAACACTGCATGGAGACTGTATTAGTTTCACACAGCACTAGCATCAGTGCCGGTTTGTAAACCGCGTGCAGAACACAGCTGGGATCTGCCCTGACTGCTTTTTAAAGCCCAGAAAATGCAGTGACCTAACAGCAAATCAATGATGGCCAAATCTAATACCCTGTCAGATCTGTGCCAAAGCCCGACTGGGAGAACTGTCGACGGTAATGGCTGTAAGGAGACAGCGATTGGCTGGCACTCCTGCTCTGCAATATTCACCGGTGGATTCGGGCTGCCAGACTAACCTGCAATTCAAAGTGAGGCCGCAAGTCACCGATTAAACCTCTGTTGTGTCTAGGCAGATGAGACACAACTTGCTCCCTCTTCAGGAGTCTCTGCAAAATTAATTAGGGCTATGCATCCAAAACCCTTAGGCACTAAAAATTCCTATCGCTTCCCAGTAGGATTTCAGTGCAGTGTTTTCCAATTTAGGGCCAGCAGACAGTGAACTAGGGGTCTGCTCCACTGATTCCTCAGCTTTCTATTCTGGGGTCTCCTTTTACATTTGCTGGTCAAGTGGGATTTGGCATTAATATCAACACTGTATCAATTTCTGAGTTTCAGTGCAGAAAGAGAAAGAAACCTTCCCATGGGAGGCCGGATCCATCGTCTGTCCGTGAGAAACTGATCAGCTATTAAGAGCTATTGAGTCTGAAATCAATTTAACTAGTTGAGGAGAGGATGCTCCAGGTCCAGTGTGTTAAAACTGTTGGGGACAGTACCCCCTGAAGTGCAGGAATGCAGAAACAAGTTAACCAGGACTCCCATCAATCAGTCAACACAGGGGATTAAGAGACTGGTTGAATCGGTAAACAGCAAATATAGCGATCATCCAGTGTCCCTACTGGTCTTGTATATCGCACAACAGAAGCATTAAAAATGACAGGATAACACAGCCTAGGCAAGATCGATGAATGTAAAATCTAGGACAAATGTAGCAAAGAATGCTCAATTCTTCTGCCACTGGGTGTCATTATGTAGAATTTGATAAATTACAAAATCGTTATTTTGACACGTGTCTCTTTGTGAAATGTCAGCGCCTGGCGTCTATAGCTATTCCATGTCTCCAGTTACTGCATCCCAGGAGACACACTTACTGAGTTAATAAAACAACAGTTTTTTGCAAACAAACCATCATGGCCAAACTGTTCACTGACATTTGTACCAATATGCTCAAACTATATGGATAGTGTGGACTCCTCACCCAAGATAAGATGGCTGTGATCTGCACAGAGCCCAGGGCATATTAAAGAGAATCGTGACTGGATTACATCTGGTTTCCAAATTCTTCTAAACCCAGCAAAAATGTGTTCTGGACAACTTCTGTTCTGTACCAGAGCGCCACTCCTGTACA